TGGCCTAATCGCTAAATTTTTTTCATTACTAACAACATGGATGCGGTTCTCCAAACTTTTCCCACGTCATGCGTTCATCTAGAAATAACTTTCTAATTCTCACAGCTTCGTGCAGAGGATCCATCTAGTTCTTATAATGCATGACATTAGAAAGAAAACAAGATAATAGTTTATAAAATGATATGTATAGAAAACAATAAGCTTTTCCCAAAATTTAAAATGAAAGTTGCTCTTCAATCGCAAAGAGTTTGTTGCAACGAGGTATTGGAAGCCGAACATCACAATACCAACATGATGATTGTTGGCCCATGAAACTATGAATCAACTTAAACTGTTGGGAAGAGGTTCACATTTGCATACATTCGGATCAAGCTGGATACTTAGGTTCTATTTTGATTTACTAGAAGCTAATATTCAGCTAGTTAATACTCCTCCGTAAAAAAAAATACAATTCTAGTTTTTCGAGGAGTTAAACAGTTTAAAACTGTGACTAAACCTTTATAAAAAAATACTGGCATTCATAATACAAATAAGTATTATTAGATTAGTTATAGAATATATTTTCATAATAAATTTATTTAGACACATCAATGTTAATTGACCCATTAGCAGGTTTGTTCGGATCCATTTTAACTATTTTTTAGTTGTTTGATCCAAAACAGGGCTTAGTAGTTTAATCGAGCAAAGTGATAGGAATTTTAGGAGCAGTCCGGCTGCACATTAAACAAACGGCTTATGGGATCTGCAAGATGCCACTTTGATATGTTGTTTCTATTTTCTCTATATAAGAATAGTGTAATGTTTAAGTCACAAATCTCAAAGCATATAGATAAGGAAGTATTTTCATAATTAGATCCTTTTGGTACCACCTTTGCAGCACTTGACCATATTTTTACTCACACGTATCTATGATAACAAATTTTACTATTTTTAGAAAATATTAAAAACTAACACACAAATTTATATTGGCGACCCTAAACTATTTCTAAAATTCTTTTTATATATATATATATGGAACCATGTTATCTTTCCATCTACTCTTACATCCTTGTCCTTTTTCATGTTGGAGTGTCCGTTCGCGAGGATTTGTTTTTTCTCCTCGTTTGCATTTGTGTATGCCCCTCGCGGCCATGAAGCTCCACAAGGGCACTCGTTGTCACGGATGATCTCCGTCACCGTTGCCACACCGGTCCTCGCATCCGGCTTGCCCTCATCGTCGTCTCGTTCTACAATGTCAACTTCGTTGATAGTTACGAGTACATACGCTGCACCTCCTCTTCATCCTTTTCACCGTCATCAACGACCTCTCTGCCTACCACCTTTATCGGTGTTTTATAAACCGGACTAGTAAACTTATACGATTGTCGCGCTCCTCTAGGAAGACGATGGTAGTATCCAAAAGACACGAGGATTTATACTGGTTCAGGCCGGAGCCCTACGTCCAGTCTCAGAGATGATCGAGTGCGTGTTCCTCGTTTGAATGCTCTGAAGTTCTTACAATGGAGATGCAAGAATGGTGAAAGAGGTATGAGAGATAGAGCTAGGAGACGGGTTGTCCAAAGGGAAGCTATAGGAACCCTTCTACGGTGTAAGAATGAGTGAATGTCAAAAAGGATTCCCAAGACGGATGCCCTGGCTACCCTTATATAGAGTCCGGGGCCAGGGCATGTACAAAGCATAAGGTTTTCCAGAACGAAAGGTCATGAGCCTGAGGGAGGACCTAGCTAACTTGGTTTGCAAGCTACGCGGTCTTGTGGTGCACGTCTGGGCACGGTTGTCGTCGTGGTCTTGTGGCCAAGTCGCGGCATGGTGTGACGTGGTGCTCCTGTGGCGGCCGTGGTGGCACTGTAGGCATGGTGGTGGTTCGCCACCCGTCCTATATGACGTGGTCTTCATCATCGCCTCCTAGTTTCCTAGGGCGTCGTACGACAGGTCTGGATGGCCTCTAAGTCAAGGCATTCGTCCTTCGTCGTGGATCTCATCTCATAGTGGGTAGAATCGTACATGCATCTTGTCAAGCCATATTTGGATGGTGGGCATTGTACCGGCCGTCGCCGGCTTGGGCGGTGTTGTCGTGTCTGAGCTGCGTGGCGCAGGGGTGGTGTCTGATTGGACCGAGGTGACCGTTGTTCCCTTGGTCCTTGCGGGGTCAGTGCGGCCTGCCTACTCCTGTAAGAGCGGGCATGTTTGGCTAGTTCTGACCTCTCCCCGTTCCTCCCAGGGGTCGGGATGGCGGAGAGGTCGTGGGTCTCTTGCGCGTCGTGCGGCTAAGGTAAAAGGTGGGGTCGCGGTCGACCCTGGCCTTGATGTTAGGCCTGTTCTGCTTGGCTCAGTTGTGCCTCGGTCGTTCGGGCCTTCGCTAGCTGATGTGTCGTGGGGCGTTCGACTTGCTAACTAATCGGTGCCTTAAAACACCTGGGGATTATAACCCCGACTGTAGCCCCTGAGCATTTTTACGATCACGGAGTGATCGTGAAAGAGTTGTGTGCATATCGAATGCGGTTTTGTAGTTCGTGGCTTGTTCAAGCTTCGCCGCTCGATCCCTTGTGGGCTCGGCGTTCAATGCGGTAGGTGGTTGTTGTGCTCCGCCCCGTCAGGACACCCTAACGATGTGGTATGTGACCGCTGAGCCCTGCCGTGTCAGTGTGCTGCGTATCGGGGTTCGTGACCCAGGCGGGACCGAGTGGTCTTGTCGACGCTGTACCGGCCCTGCCTTTGTGAGAGTCCCGATTTTCCTGACCTCACACGGGCATCTGACATTGGCTGTGACCTCCCATGGTTCGCCACGCGGCGCGGGGATCTCAGGCGGTTTAGTCCGTCCCTGGCCTATAAATGAAGGCCTTTCTACCGTTTGAGGCACTCATGACCGTAACTATGAACTGTTCTTTCGCCTCTCTGAGCGATTAGGTGCTCGAGAGAATGAGGAGATGAGGGAGGAAAATATGAGGAGAGCCACGCGGCTCTTGTTTTGCATCCCGCTGGGGGTCGCTGGTGATGCCCGAAATCTGGTGGCGCCCCTTCGACAACTGGCGCTAGAAGGGGCTTTGCGAGCGGAGGGGTGCGAGATAGCGTGACTGCCGAGTCAGGTCATACGCGACATCGGTCCGCTATCTCGTCGCTTTTTCTAGCCCCGAACTTCAGAGGTTCGGGTGCTCGAAACGTGCGACGGCCGGTGGTGTTGTCGGTTCCTCCCTGATTCCCATGTGTGGTCCGGTGCTACGTCGGGGTCCTATCGGGGGACTGTTTGGTGTCTGCCTGAGACTACTTGCAGGGAGGGAGGAGGCCAGAGCAACGCTGTCTTTTCACGCTTCCTGCGTCGGACGGAGCAGGATGGTGACGTGGCCTATAATCAGTCGTTTATATGATTTTGGACGTGTAACATTTTGTTTCGGAAACAGGTTTTTTTGCTGTATATGATTTTCGATCTGGATGAGTTTGTTTCTGAAACGGTTTCTTTTGCCATATATGTTTTTTTGCAAACGTTTTTTTGTTGTATTTGTTTTTTGGAATGGTATGGAAATTTTTCGTGGAAAGTTTGGGAAGCGGGGTGTGGAAGAGTTTGATTTTTTTTTTGAAAGGGATGTTGATTTGTGGAAGAGTTTGGGAGAAATTTTGCCACAAACATTTTTCTGGTGTATTTGTTTTTTTGAAAACGGTATTTTTTTTGAAACGAGGGATGCGGAAGAGTTTGGTTTTTTTTTGCCATATTTGATTTTTTTATTGAAAACAGGGATGTTGGTTTTATTTACGGTGTTTTTTTTTTTTTTTTGCCGGGGGCGGGATGACGCTAACGATAGCTGTAGGAATTTTTTAGGTGTAGTATATAATAGATAGATGTTGTCCGTGGGTGACACGACTCGTATCTTTAGAGTGAATTGTATAGAAACAAGTCACCAAACAAACAACACCCTGCATTATTGAGTGCGGGCAATCAGTTCTAATAAAAAACAAAATGAGATAAGAACATCTTTTAGCTATGGGCATGTAGATATGATTTGATATTTGAAAAGAAACATGTTTATTCTTTTTTTAGGTTGTACATTTGGTTCAAAAGAAATCAGAGTTGTGCCACGTCACTTCCACGATCACGGACGCCACGCCGGCACCAACCGTTGCTGCTGCCAGGGGCTCAGGGCCCAACCAGCCGGCCAGGCAATTGTTTGGATCGCTTCCTCCAGACAAGAAACCAGACATTGATCTCGTTCCCAAAATCAAACGCCCAGACAAAGTACACGGTGGCTGTGACCGGTTTTTTAAGGATTGTTAGCACTTCAGAGATGCTCGAGCGGTGAACAAGGTACGCTCGTGCCTGGACATCTTCACAACCCCCTGCTCTGATTACCTGTCCAACTGTCCGTGCAAATGGCTCGGCCATTCGCTCATCTCAACATCAGAGCATCTGCTTCGGTCTTCTTAAAAAAAAGGCAAACGGTATGCACCAGTCCTACATCACAGCCAAATATGGGAAACGCAAAAGTGTCTTGTTCCAATTTCAATCCTTCTTTTAAGCAACACGAAAACATAAGCTAACCTACACCAATTCCATTAGCGTCAGGCTCCATTAACAAAAAAAAAAAAAAAAAAAAAAGGACTTGCTGCGAGGGTATGACCACCCCAGGCATTGCATTAAGAAGAAGATCTTTTCACGCAGGCCCAGAAAACCTCTGAACCCCTGCCTCACCCTTACACAGCGGCACCGTCGCCCTATGAAAACGGACTGGTCCTTAGACCTGTGCTTTGGCGTGGGATAGACGAAATATTTTTTAACCTCAGTCTGAAATTTGCTCCCACGGGAAGTCGAACCTAGAACCTGAGGAGTGCCGCTGGGACGCTCTAATCGGTTGGACTAGTGTCTTGTTCCAATTTTAATCCTTCTTTTAAGCAACACGAAAACATAAGCTAACCTACACCAATTCCATTAGCGTCAGGCTCCATTAAAGAAAAGAACAACACGGGTAGACCGAATTGAACGGTGCCAAAAATACAAATAATCTATCTATCTATTTTAAAGACAGGGTACCAGGGAACGCTTCCTCGACTTCGCTCCACTTGCTACCGATCGTCTCCCCCTCGAGTCCGTCAATCTCGTAGCGCACCTCCTCCATGTGTTCGTTTATGCTGGTCACGGCCTCCTGCACGCCCTGTATGGCCTCCTTGAGGGCGGCGTCATACTCCGCGTCCGCGTCCGCCTCCGTGATCTCCTTGACGTGCACGCACACGTGCTGGGCCATGCTGCGCGACCTGCAGTCCTCGTGGTTCACCAGGCGCTCTGAAGGCCTGCCAGCTTTCTTCAGCACCTGAATCTTCGCTGTCTTCAGAAATCTGCGAACCAAACCAGGAAGGCCAGAGACAAATAATCAGCGATTGAAGAAAATGGCAATATGAAAGCTTACAGAAGAAATACGAAGCAGATGATGGAAACAATGTTGCACGTTGAAAGTTGAAAGCACAAATATCTTACATCTAAATTCCGGCCAGTACCACAAGTCACTCAGGAAATTACCCAAATAAGTCGAAAGATTGAGTAGTTAGACTACAATACAATGCAATTTCAAGGGAACATTGGTCAGGGCCTAAGGCTGGTGTAGCTATCAGGTGCAATAAGAAGAGGTAGCAAACGTGGAACAGTTATCATGCCAAAAACAAAAATGCTTCACTTGTACAATTTAACACATGTTACTCTTAGCAGGGAAAATTAGACTAGGTTGAAATCATTTTATATAAATTCAAGTGTGTTATAATGTATTGCGAAAGAGGTAAAGCTTTGGTTTCCTTTAGGATTTAATAAAACATGGCCTGATATAAACCATGAGAAATGAAATTACAATCTCTGATGTGCTAATGATTCCTCCAATCACAGTATTCCTAGGCTAAATGAAATGTCAAAACACATCATTACAGTTTAAATGTGAAAGAATGAAATAAGTTTCCACTCTTAAACAAAATCTAGTTATTTTAAGGAAGCATTATTTCATGGCCCACATGGCAATACAACATGCCCAACAGCCCAAGCTAACTTACCAAATGCAACTTCTCTTTCTCTTGTGCTTGAACACCCTTCAGTAAATCGGCAAGATCGTTACGACTAAATTCTGGCATTGAGAGCAGGGAAATTATTTCAAGGACCTGGAGAAAGAATTATTAGATGCTGCTTTTTATGGATAGGAAGAAGATGAGACAACTAGAGCTAACTTGTTTTGAGCAATCATTGAACTCTGCTGTAATATTGCCACACAGTTGTCGATAGGCCAATTCACCTCCATTAGCCATATACTCAGAAAACCCCCTGCTATATAGTATTAATGAGCCAATGAGAAAACAAAATGGAAGGCTTACATAAAAAACTACTGTCATTAAGTACTTTTCACACAGAGATATGCAGATGCAGTCACCAGAATTATAGATGACTAAAAAACCTTTGACAAAAATGCATAACCAAAGTGCCTAACAATTATATTTCTGACTGAATTACGGAGTACTATACTTACAATTAAAAAAAAAAACACATTGATAACATTTTTCAATTTACCACTTGCACCATTCTAGCATGGAAATATAGTGACAGCGCAAATTCCTTTTGCTAATATTCCCAGAAATGTTTTCTCTTTTGTGAATATATTACATGCCAGATAGCTAAGTTTCTAGCGGGTTCAACATCAACATCAACATAGCCTTTCAGTCCCAAATAAGTTGGGGTAGGCTAGAGTTGAAACCCATCAAGAGCCCAAAGTCACGGTTCAGACACTTCAATAGCTGCTTTCTAAGCACTCCTATTCAAACATAGATCCTCTAGGTATATCCAAAGCTTTCAAATATCTTTTTATTGTCTCCCCCTATGTCAATTTCGGTCTTCCTCTACCTCTCCTCATATTATTACCTTGGCTTAGGACTCCACAATGCACTGGTGCCTCTAGAGGTCTCCTTTGGACATGGCCAAACCACCTCAACCGATGTTGGACAAGCTTTTCTTCAATTGGTGCTACCCCTAGGCGATCACGTATATCATCGTTCCGAACTCGGTCCATTCTTATGTGACCACAAATCCATCGCAACATACGCATTTCTACAACACTCAGTTATTGAACATGTCGAATCTTTGTAGGCCAACATTCTGCTCCATACAACATAGCCGGTCTAATCACCGTTCTATAAAACTTGCTTTTTAACTTTTGTGGTACCCTCTTGTCACAGAGAATGCCAGAAGCTTGTCGCCACTTGATCCACCCTGCTTTGATTCTATGGCTAACGTCCGCATCAATATCTCCATCCCTTTGTAGCATCGATCCCAGATACCAAAAGGTGTCCTTCTTAGGCACTACTTGACCTTCCAAACTCACATCTCTCTCCTCCTGTGCAGCTTCGCCAAAGTCGCATCTCATGTATTCGGTTTTAGTTCTGCTCAATCTAAAATCTTTAAACTCAAGGGTCTGCCGCCATAACTCTAGTTTTCTATTTACTCCCGCCTGACTTTCGTCCACTAGCACTACATCATCAACGAACAACATACACAAGGGATATCCCCTTGTATGTTCCTAGTAACCTCATCCATTACCAAGGCAAAGAGATACGGGCTTAAGGCTGACCCTTGACGAAGTCCAATTTTAATCGAGAAGTAATCTGTGATACAATCGTTTGTTCGAGCACTAGTCACAACATTGTTGTACATGTCCTTGGTGAGGGTCACGTACTTTGATGGGACTTTATGTTTGTCCAAAGCCCAGCAAAAAAACATTCTTTATGGCTAGATCAACAAACGCAAGACCAAGAAGCTTATGTAGCTACATAACACCAGACCTCTTTGCATAATAGGTCTGAACATTATAAAATTCTGTTGGGAAGCATGCATACACATTGGAAACATAGAAATGCATTCAGCAATGCTCCTGATGGGAAAAGAAACTACCAAATGAGCATTCCGCACATACTATTGAATTGTACTAATGTATACTCCTTTGTGTACAATTGGTAGTAGATCAAAACGTAAATGAGCCTTATCTAGTATCGAGGAGACTACTGCAAATTGAAAACAACTGAACCCTTCTAATCATCTATCCCTTCCATCTCAAAATTTTGTACAAGCTAACATGACATCAGATCCTCCTACATAGGCCAAGTTCTCATTTAAATTGGCACAAAACATCTAATTTTATGTTCGAAGAATTTTAGGCCTACTATTATGCTCTTTCTTTGAACAGCAAGAAAACACTTGATGCACAATGGACAACTTTGGAGGATTCAATGCTAGAAACTTCCTATATCCTAAGAGCATCTCCACCAGATTGAGAAAAACCAATCCCCTTTTTCCTGTAACCAGCAATGAAAGGGATTGAAGCAAAAAAACAAGCTCCAGCAGATCCCCTTTCCCTAATTTTTTTTCTCAATCTCTCAAAATCTCACCTTAATCCCTCAAATGAAGGGGAACAACCACCATTTTTTCTCAATCTCCTTTCTTCCTCCTCATGTCACTAAAGTTGTGGGTCCACAGGATAGGAGTGCCTTTGAGCCACCAGCACATTGAGCGGGCGAGCACACGGGCCTCCGTGCCGTCGCCACCACTCTGCGTGGTCAAGTGCGTGGGTCGGCTGCGCCACCGCCACATCGGGCAGGCGAGCACGCAGGCCCGGACCACGCCAAGCACGCGAGCACTTGGGCCGCCGCATTGCCACCTCATGCAAGCACCGAAAGAGATGGGAGGGAGAGGGAAGAGAGAAGAGGAAGAGAAAGGGAGAGAGTTGCCATGACATGTGGGTCTCATGTACATATAGGGGATGGAATTTCTCAATTGCTGCAGAAGCCCTCCCCTATAACCTGGAATTCAGTTTTATTAATCCACTATAGGGGATTTTAAGGGAAAGGGAAGCTTAACTAAAACATTACAGATTCTAAAGGTTTGTTTGCTTAGCTGTGGAAAACTATTTTGAGCTATGAAAAAATTGGTGTGAGCTATGTGTTGTGAAAAATTGTAAGTTGTTTGGTTGAAAGAACAATAAAACCTATACCATCTCTTTATTTCCCTTGAAACAGCTACAAAATATTAAAATGTCTCACTGTTTCCACTTATTTGAGAAAGTTGAAAGCCAAAAGAAGGGTTCAAGGTGCTGTGAAAATTGAACTACGTGAAAGGAGTTTCTCAAAGATCCTATTTTAACGAATCACACGTAGAGATATTGCTAGTACAAAAGCACTTTCCAGAAGGTTGAGCTTCAGGTTCTGGGCAGAAACACTTTCCAGAAGCTGAACCAAACACAGCCTAATACATGGTGCAAGGATCCAAAGTTCAAACTTACTCCCTCCGTCCCTAAATAACTATCGCTTTTGGTTTTCGTGCCGTAAGTTTAGCTGGATTTGTAGAAAATACATGCAATATTTGTATCTCCAAATAAATTTATTATGAAAATAGATTCAACGATCTATCTAATGATATTATTTTTGTACCATAAATATTAATATTTTATATATATATTTAGTCAAAGTTATTTCTCGGGAAGCGAAAACGACAGTTATTTAGGGACAAAGGGAGTATGTTCCAACCACAATGATCCACTAAGACTAAAATAATAACTACTCTAACCACCCAACAAGTAAACTCAAATCCACACTCCACACCAGCAACACAACCTAAAACTACGAACATAACGGATGGATATCCGTGCAATGTTAATGCCAGAACTTTCCCAATTCTGGCAGGAATAGAACTGTTTCCTATGAACCTTTGAAACAGGGCCTATACTGTATCGACAACCACGTTCAAGGCTAGCAAATAAAATGCTACAAAATCATATAAGAACTAGAGTCCCAGCCCAATCGGGCCTACAGCACTAGACAGTCACACGTCACCAGAAATCCCTCGTATGATCATTAGGGTTTATAGTTCAGAACCGGGGCGGCTGGGCCGCACCGGAGAACGACGGCGGTACCTTCGTAGCGTGGAGTAGGCCTCGGCCCGGCGCTGCTGCACGGCGAGGAACCCGCGGAGCAGGCCCACCAACGCGACCGCGCTACGCCGCTCGCCGCCGGTATCTGCGTCCATGGCGGCCTCCTCGGCGGCGGACGCGACCGGAGTCGGTTGGTCCTCCGCCATATGGTTCCCGTTGCTCGGCTCCATCTCTGCCATAGCTTCTCCGCCTCACAAGGGGAAGGAGTCGAACTCCCCAGTCCCCACTGGCTTTCCGTGTTTTTTGAAACCGCTTATACAAGAATCGTTTATAATCTAATCAAGATATAAGTTGCGATCTAAAAAATCTTAGCAACAAGGATATAAAAAGACATATCTGCCCCTGACTTCCTCGGCCATCTTACGGAATGAGGGAAACCGGAAACGGTGTCGGATGGGGAGCAGAGTCGGAACGAAGTCGGAGCGAGGGAACGGAGTCAGAGGGGAAGCCTACGACCGAGCGCCGATAGAAGCAGCGGAGACGGGAACTGACGAGTGACTGAAGGCCGCGAGGGAGCGGAGACGGAGAACTGACGGAAGGCCGCGAGCGAGCGGATGGGAAGCGGGGCGCCGCAACGTGCCGTCCCAGGCGAGCGGACGGGGAGCGGCGGCGAACCCTATCGTGACTCGCGAGCGGAGGGGTATCCAGCCCGTTTCCCTATTTGATTTCTAACGTCACGTAAAAAGAAGATTCCCCGTCACATCAAACTTACGGATATATGTATGAAGTACTAAATATTGATGAAATCAAAAACTAATTGCACAGTTTGGGTATACTTTACGAGACGAACGTTTTGAGCCTAATTAGTCAACGATTGACAATTATTAACAAATAAAAACAAAACAACACCGTAGCAGCAGTGTCGCTACAGTGTTTTAGGCGGCGCAGAGTCGGGTGAACTAAACGCGGCCTTAATTGATATTGGTTTGTTGTGAGAGAAAAACAATATACTATGACTAATACATCCTCACTGAAACCAACAATCAAATCGGGTGGAAACTGTCTCACGGCGGGGAAAATGCGGCCCTCACCCTGCAGTACAGGCAGGGAACGCGGCTGGTAGTATTGTTTTCACCTCCCGCTTATCTCAAAATCTAAAAGTGTTTAGGTGGGATTATTGGTGAGATTATTGTTTATTTTTATCTTGATTCTTTTTTTTTAAATTGCACAGTACAATATAGACGCCCACAACACGCACGCATATCCATCCCAATGAACATACGTACGTAAATCCTACTCCTATGAGCACCTTCGAACAACTGAGCCGGCAGATCTTAGGACTCACGAAATCGTCTCGCTGTCGACGAAGACATCGCCTACGACTAAAACTATAACGTCGTTAAATTTTAAAATAAATCTAAAAAATACAAGCACCATACCATACCAAATCAAAGACTTAGACCCAGGTAAACATATTTCACGACATGGAGATTTAAGCGGAAACAAACACGCGCTATGTTCCTTCGCCGCAGCGTCAGGACGACGACTGACCGCTCGGATATCCTGAATCGGGACACACTTTTTATGCCAAAACTGCAACGGGTTCGGATCGACGGCTGCGGAGATCACCGGCTGCAAAGCTATCTCTCGCTTGTGTTAAGTAGGCAGGGACTCGATTTGTAGCAGTAACAAGATTAACACCCTCATGCAGGAATAAATCCCTGCCTCCTCCGCGCTCCAGCTCCTGTTCAGCACTGTTCATGAGTTTGACGTTTAGTGTTCATCAGCTTTAAATAGTCCCCAACTAACCGTTGTCCATCCATTTTTTACTGGACATCCGATTTTTGCTGTTCATTGATATTTTAGCACCACATTTTTACATATTTCCCGTTACTACTGTTCGCGTGTCTTCAGAATGGGCGCAGCGGCAGCGCGCCTACCAGCCTAGTACTTCTTTATGGGAAAAAAACATCTCGGCTCAGCCTAGCTCGTTAGGATATCTAGCTCGACTCGGTTCGGTATCCTAATAACGAGCTAAAAGTTAAATTTGGCTCGGCTCGTTCTCTGCCTCGAGTGAGCTCGTTCAGCTCACAAGGTAAAGCTAACTCATGCTAGAATAAGAAGAGAAAGTAGCACTTTGATTCGATTACAATAAACAAGCAGAAATTGTAGAACAAGCAATTAATCATCTAAAAAAGTGAAAACTGAGGCTTAGACAGGGGACATTTTTTTCACCTTTGTTGTTTAATTTAGTGGGAGATACTCTATCTATCATGCTGGATAGAACCGAAAGCAATGATTTATTTAAAGGCCTTAACAGAGGGGGTCTTAACTCACCTACAACTTAGATTTAATTGGTATCGTAGGTCTCTCAACATAGGAAATAACCTTCCAGTTCTCACTATACGAGTCTCGAGTCGGTGGATGACACTCAATTTAATAAGTAAATTAACGCAGCTAACCCCTACATCTCCCGTGTAGAAATAACGTACTCTAAGCGAGATCATCTGAGACACAATTGCGCCTTTATCAAATGAACTGGTGTTTCACGCGCCAAAGACAGATCAAAGCCTCGGGTAAAAATGGAATACAACCCAGCACACGGATGCACACCATGCCGTAAGCCACCGCATATCATCATGTACAATTACATGTAATTATATATATGGTTCCTAATTCAACACAACATATATATCATCAGGTTACGGTCCGTTTGAAGCTGCAAAGCCTAGTGGAAGCAGGGCGCGGGCTCCCACGTTCCACCCCCACCTTGCCACTCCCTTCTCTGAGAATTGAACAGATTGCCGCCATTGTATACAATTTACAGAAGAGAGCTTTCTGCCGCTATATGCATCACTTGGACCTGGTAATGTATGCATTTCGTACTTACCTGTCTCAAATGCAAACATAAGGCCTCAACCGGCCTGCCGAGACATTAAACCAAGGAATTAATCAAGTGATATCGGATCATCCATGCACCATCATGCTAAGCTAACTAATCTGCCACTTCAGGGCCACGGATTCTATCCATCAGTACTAGAACTCTATCTTTTAACTGCTTTTAAACAAGGATAAATTGTGGTCACAATACACTGAAAAGCACTATTGACTTCCTGAACAAATAACAATGTCAAATGACATCCCAAAAAGATTACATTACAGAAAGTAAGAATTATGTATACCATAAAGAATTCAAGCAATAATGAAATGACAACATGACAATGCCACAATCTATACCAAAGCATAAATAGAGGTAAGTTTTCAATCAAGCAATAAGAACAAATAGTTTTGGTGGTTATAAAAAGAAAACGCTTACTAATAGTTCTCAGCCAACACAATAGATTGTTTATCTGAGTAATTTCTACCAAAATACTCGCTCCATCCCAAATTATAAGTCATTCCAATTTTTTTAGAGAGTCAAAGCATCTGAAGTTTAACTAAATTTATATACTAAAATAATAATATTTATGATACCAACTAAGTATCATTAGATTCTTCATTAATTATATTTTCATAGAATACCTATTTGGTGTCATAAATCTTTATAATTGTCTCTATAATTTTTATCAAACTTGAGATGCTTTGACTCTCCAAGAAAGTTGTAATGACTTATAATTTGTAATGGAGGGAGTAATACAAAAGCCTTTGATTTACAAATTGGCATTATCATAATCTAGTGCGCTCATGCAAAGGAGTATGTCAAATTGGCAATGAACCTTCACATAAAAAAAATGAGATTCATAACAAAACAGAGGTTTCCTTTGCCGACAGTGCACAAAGTCAGATGGTATACAACAGTGTGCACCTGCCACATAATCATAATCAATTGTCCGGTCAGATATGAGAAAGATAAGCTATACCAAGAAGATCATTCCAGCAACAAAAAGTCCCAGCAAGTAGCAAGTAGCATTTAGTAACCTCTCTTTCAATACCATAAACAAATATTTCACTTGTACTCCCTCTATCCCAAAAAGAATGCAATTCTCACTTCCTGAGAAGTCAAACAATTTCAAATTCGACCAAATCTATATGAAAAATTACTAACACTTATGATACCAAATAAATATCATTAGATTAGTTATGAAATATATTTTCATAGCAAACCTATATTTAAAGAAAGTTTGACTCATCTCGAACCTACAATTGCATTCTTTTTGGGACTGAGGGAGGAGCAAACATTCTCAATTTTGACATTTTGTCCACATAAAGACATTATTTGCAAACTAGGGAATATTATTTTAGATATAAAAAAACAGAAATATCCAACTTTGTTAAGAAATAGACGTGCATTGCCTGCAAATTAGGATGGCAACTAAAATGACACTTATCAATGCAGAGTACAAATTATGTCTAAACATAACAGCAGGTTTATGGTACAAAAAAAAAAGAGAGGTGAAAACAGAAACATAGTAAAATCCACAATGTTTTACAGCGGTCTTGCAAGCCACGTGATCGCCTCTTTAAAAACCATACATATAAAACAATAAACCATTGTCGTTAAATAGCTCAGTGCTTTAAACCCACAGGAAGTCTTTTACAACAGTTTTGCAAGCCTTAATTTGGCCTTTTTGAAAACCGTACAAAAACAGTAATATCTTTAAATACCGCAGTGCTTTAAATCCACATGAAGTCTTTTACAATAGTCTTGCAGCCATAAGATGTCCTTTTGAAAATTGAAATAGTTGTACAAAGCACTGTTTCGTTTTGAAATGACAGGTGGAGGGAACTAAAGTTCCTATGAAAACTTTGACCACAGGCATAACTGAGTAGCCAGAAACAGCTTAAAACAGCAAGTTTATATAAGTGCCAAGCAGGAACATGTAGAATCATCTGGCCACAGTAAAATAGTTATAACCATCCTGTCAAATAGCAAGATAGATTAAAATAAGTGAAACAGTTCTCAAAGATAGTATTTGTGTACAAAGACAACCTTCCCAATAAAGCATAACTGTGGTTTGTGGTCTGGGCTGTCAGTTGAAAACAAGTAATACAAAATAGGTTATAGGGTCAATGCATACACACTATCTTCATGGCAAACAGAATAGTGCAAATTGGAGACACATGAAAAAAATAAGACTTGTCATGAACCTAATTTATGCTTGCAAAGTGCAAACAAATTTGCCTGCCAAGCATACTGTACGCCAATAACTGAACTAATGTACTATGATGAAGGTTACACGTTAAATGAAAGAACAGCAAAACTGACTCAGATGAAAACTGTAGGACTTGTCACAAACCT